AACACCTCATAGAACATTCCCCAAAACTGGTCATGTATTTGGACAAGTCTCAACAGATACAATAAAACTAGAAACATCCTATCTGATCGCCATGGATTAAGGCTGGATATCAAGAACAGAAAACTAAAAACTCATGGAAACTGAATGATACATTACTGAATGGAAAGTGGACCAGACAGAAATCAAGAAGGAACATAAAAACTTTCTATAATTGAATGAAAATAAAAATAATATATTCAAATCCATGGTACATAATGAAGGTAATATTAAGAAGCAAATTCATACCACTAAGTGCTAATATTGGAGCGATCTGACATTAGTAACTTAACAGCATATATGAAAGCTCTAGAAGAACAAGAAAAAAGAAATTTAAAAGGAGTAGATGGCAATAAATAATCAAACTCAGGACTGAAGTCAATAAAATAGAAACAAACAAACAATAACAGAAAACAAAGAGTTAGTTTTTTTAAGAAAATCAATAGCCAAATTAACTAAAAGGTGGAGGGGGGAAGATTCAAATTAACAAACTTAGAGAAGAAAAGGATGACATAACTACAGATACTGAGGAAATCTAGAGAATTGTAAGAAAATATTTTAAAACTTGCACTCTATCAAACTGAAAAAACTAAAAATAGTAGATAGGTTTTTGGCTATATACTACCTACAAAAGTAATTCAAGAACAGATAAGTCATTTAACTAGACCTAAAACCTCATTTGAAATAGAAACAATAATAAAAAGTCTCCTAACAACAACAAAAAAAAATTCCCAGAGCCAGATGATTTTAACACAGGGTTCTACCAGACTTTCAGAGATGAGTAAGGTCAATACTTCTCAAATTATTCCATAAATAGAAACATAAGGGGCACTGCCCAATTCACTTTTAAAGGCCATAGCTACTCTGAAAAACAGACAGTGTATATGAGACAATTTCTCTTATAAACATATACACAAAAATTTTCAGTAAATACTTGCAAACAAAATCCAAGAACACATAAAAAGATCATTCACCATGATCAAATTGGCTTCCTCAGACAGTTGCAGGGATGGTCCAATGTATATAATTCAATAAATATAACCCACCATATAAACATCATAGGGGAAAGCAACACATGATCTTTTCACTAGCTGCAGTGAAGACCTTCATCAAAACCTAATAACCCTTTATGACAAAAGTCCTTGAGAGACTAAGGATACAAAGCACATACATCAACATAATAAAGGAAATTTAAGGAAAGCTCACACCCAATATCAACCTAAATGGAGAGAAACTCAAAGCATTCCCATTAAAAACAAGACAAGGTTGCCCATTCTCTTTATACTAATTCAATATTCTACTTAAAATCTTAGCTAGAGCAATAAGACAATTGAAGGAGATCAAGGGGATACAAATTGGAAAGGAAGAAGTCAAAGTACTTTTTTAGCAGATGATATGCTAATATCCACAAGTGACCCTAAAATCTCTCATTTTAAGATGGAAACACGCAGAAAGAATCAAAAAAAAAAACCAAGCAAAAAAACAAGACAGAATAATACAAACAAAACAATTCTGAATAATAAAAGAATTGCTGAAGGTATCACCATCTCCAACCTTAAATTATACTACAAAGATATAATAATAAAAGCACTATGGTATTGGTATAAAAATAGACACATAAATCAATGGAATGAAATTGAAAACACAGAAATGAATTCACATTCCTATTGATACCTAATCTTTGATAAAGAAGCCAGAAAGTCATGCTGGGAAACCAAACCCAGAATCTTCAACAAATTATACTAGTCAAACTGAATGCCCTATATGTAGAATATTGCAAATAGATCCAAACTTATCCCTCTGTATAAAACTCAATTACAAATGGACATAAACCCAGATGCACTGATAGAAGAGAAAGTGGAGAATAGTCTGGAACAGGAAAAGACTTTCTGAACAGAGCACCAATAGCAGGCCTTAAGATCAGTAATTAGTAAATGTGACCCCATAAAGCTGAAAAGCTTCTGTATACCAAAGGACACCATCATTTGGACAAAGTAGCAGCCTACAGAATGGGGAAAGATTAGCAGTTACACATCTGATAGAGGACTGATATCTGAAATATATAACCCAAAAAACTAGACATTAAGAAAAAAAACAACCCAATTAAAAAAAAATAATGGGGTTAAAGATCTAAACAGAATTTCCGGAAGAGGAAATGCAAATGGCCAAGAAACAAATAAATTTTCAACATCCTTAGTCATCAGGGAAATGCCAATCAAACTACCTTGAGATTTCATCTTACACCAGCGCCAAGAATGACCAAGATCAGTAAAACAAATGACAACTCATGATGGTGGGGATGCAGAGTAAGAAGAATTCTCATCTAATGCTAATGAGAGTGCAAACTTGTATAGCCACTATGCAAATCAGAAAGGTGAGACTTGATCTACCTCAACATTCAGCTATAACACTCTTGGGTATATACCTAAAGGACCCTTCATCCTATTACAGAGACACTATCTCAACCTTGTTCATTGTTGCACTAGCCATAATTGTCAGAAACTAGAAATAGCCAGAAACTGGAAGCAACCTAGTTTTTTGCAATGAAATATTATACATCTATTTAAAATGAAATAATGAAATTTTAAGGTAAATGGATAGAATGAGAAAATATTCTGAATAATGTAACTCAGGCCCAGAAAGACAAGTATAGTATGTATTATCTGTGGATGTTGTTAAGTCTTCGATAAGCAAACTATAATCCATATAACCAAGGAGGTTAGGTATAGAGTATGGAAATGGGGGAGGAAGCGATGACATTCCCTAGGAAAGGGAAATAAAATAGATAGTTATAAATGGATGGAAGGAGAAAGAACTGGAGGAGCAAACAAGGATGGGATGGAAGAGGGGTGCAGAGGGAGGATAAGAAAAGGGATAGCTAAAACTAAAGGCCATTTGAGGGGTCGTATGGAAGCCTAATACAGTAGAACCCTCCTAAAATATATTCAGGTATGAAGGCAATCCAAACAAAATTATCAAATAATGGGAGAGACAGAGATAACCAGATCGCTCATCACCAAATGGTGCTTCAGTACCAGGAATGGGTTACATCTAATTGAATTGTTGGGCAAAGTTCTTCCATGAGAAACCCCAAACAACCCAAGCCATTGCTAAGGCTATTGGTTGCTCTCCACAAACATACAGTAAGACCCTACTGCTGAAGACAACACTTATACAATTTATTGAACACAAAGTAGAGCTGGTGCCTACCTAGTGCCTTCACTCCTGTGGACTAGTTAGTGTTCATAACATACTCTTCACTCTGCCAAAGGAGAAAGGTAAATACCAATCTAGTTACAAGCTCCTCTATCTACAAGGATGACCTTTCTGCAAGATGTGCTAGTGCAATAGTGGCACAAAGCTTGTGATAGTAAACAAGTGATATCTGATTCAGATTTAAGGTCCAGCCAATGAAATCCATCCACATCCAACAATGCTCAGGTAGCCAAGAACCTAAGGCCGGATAAGCCAGGAACCCAAGTGAAAACAAAGGACTACTCTTCTGTTACAGGAACATGTAACAACTCCTAGTGGCATTCTGCTATACTCATAGATTAGTGCCTTGCTCAGACATCATCAGAGAAACTTCTTCATGCCGTTGATGGGAACAAATACAGAGATCCCTTGCTAGACAATGTGTAGTGAATTAGACCTTGGAACACTCAGTCCTAAATAAATGTCTCCATCAAATCTCTCTCCTCAGAGTTCAGGAAATCATGAAGAAGAGGAAACAGAAAGATCATAAGAGTCAGAGAAGAAGGGGGACACCAAGAAAACCAAGATGCTCTAAACACAGCAGGACTGATGAACATGTGAACTCACAGGAACTGAGGCAGCATGTATAGGGCTTACATGGATCTGCACCAGATGGAGTTCCATTGCTGAGTGGAGAAGTAGACACAAGCCCCATCCATAACCCAGAGGTTATCTGCAATTGCTAACTACTTGCAAATGAAAATTAGTTTTCTCCCTGTGGTAGTTTGAATTTAATTGGCTCCTATAAGTTCATAGAAAGTGGCACTATTAGGATGTGTGGCCTTATTGAAATAGGTGTGTCCTGTTGGAAGAAGGATACAACTGTGGGAGTGAGCTTTGAGGTTTCATATGCTCAAGCTACACCCAGTGTGGACACAGATTTCTTCCTGTTGCCTGTGAATAAAGGCGTAGAACTTTCAGTTCCTTCTCCAGCATAACGTCTTCCTGAATGCTGCTTTGCTTTTCACCATGATGATAATAGAATAAACTTCTGAACTGGAAGCCAGCCTCAATTAAATGTTTTTCTTTATAAGGGTTATGGTCACGATGTCTCTTCATAGCAGTGGAAACCCTAAGACAGTCCCACAGAATCTCACTGGGGATACAAATCACTCTCAAGGCAAACTCCATGCTCAGCTGTAGATAACTAACAGAAAAACTCAATAACATCTTTGGAGGTTCTTCATCTCGTAATATTTTCTTAGAGAATTTTTTTCACCTTATAGGTCCTTTGCGATACTATGGCTACTAGTTTTGTGTTTTTAAGGGATTCCTATGTGTATGAAGGTATGTCTCTGTATCTATACATGTTTCTCAGGCTTTTTCTTTGACTCTTTTTCTTCTATTTTTTGACATAGTTCAGTATGTTGGTTTTTGTTTTATCATATTTGATTTTTATTCTTCAGATGTCTGTTTGTTTTCTAATGAGAGACAGAAGGGGTATGGGTTCAATTGGGAGGAGAAGTGGAAAGGAACTCAGAGGTTTAGAAGGGTAGAAACCATAATCATAATATATTTTATTAAAAATATATTTTCTTATTTTCAGTAAAATAAAGGAGAATGTTTTGAAGATTTAGTTGAGCTATTTACTAAACAGTTTGTTTGACTTTGTGACTGTCATCTGTGTTTTCCTAAGACAACTTGAACTAATGTCTATTTACTCTGGATAGGACACTGACAACAAAGAAAGGATTACAGCCAAGCTCAGCTCAGTGAAGCAGTAAGTTTATTCGGGTTACTTACAGAAGTATAACAGGGGTGACTTAGTGGGCATGGGTGACCCAAAGTTATTTGAATCACCAAAAAGCCCATCCCAAACTGGGTGACGGTTAATGAAATTTGGAGCTTTGGATTTTAACTTCTAGGCAGGTGAGTTGGTCAGTCTCTTCTCCCTTGTAGTTGTTCCAGCTTTCACAGTCTTGGAGAATGCCACTGTGAACCTTTTTAAGTTTTAGGAAGCTTCCTGGGACTTCTGTGTTGTGTTGACTTCTTATGCTTTAACGGAGTATTTCCATTCAGAAGAAATAGGTATACAATACTATACTCCTTCCTCTGGCTCTTACATTCTTTCCATTTTTTCTTGCTTAATATTCTCTGAGCCTAAGAGAGTGGAATATAGATATTTAATTCTTTTGCTCACCTATGACAGAGTATTAGGCCACACCGCTGTAGCAACTTTTTGTCTTAGGAGCTTGAGACTATATGGTCTATTACTGGGGTGAGAGGTTCCTGGCATAGAATCTGACAGCAGGAGTAACCTATGTGTGTGGCAGGGTAGATACAGATATTAAAAGACAACCTGACAGGAGCAGAACAACAGTGGCCTTCCCAGCTGGGCCTGTTTTCCAAAGTACCAGATGTCGGTGTGGGGATAGTTCTTTCCCAGAATCCTCTGTAGTTTATTCAACACCGTGAAAACCAGCCAGAAATGAAAGAGTTTGCAACTCAGTCCCAGGCTTACTTTTCCATATCTTGGGCCAAAGAACACAGTGTTTTCAGCAATAGGGACTTTTTATCTAGTTTATCTCACAGGTTTTGGACGATGTTTGGAGACAAGCACACACAGATCTGAAGTAGGAAAGCCAGATCTCCTCTCCAGAGCAAGTTTCTTGATGAATTCACACAGTATGTGACAGTTCATCAATATATCTGCAAAAGACACATTTGCTCCTCTATAATATAGAAGATCATATCAAATCGTTACCTGTTCTAAAAGAACAGAAGGGACAAAGAAGGAGCCCAGTGGTGTATGCTGAACAGGTTTGTGTTGAGTCCAGTCGCAATATGCAGAACCCAGAACACCTGTCCTCTTTCTAACCTGCATGGATTTACCCAGGTATGTCTTATCTGCTGGGCTATGCATCAGAAATGGGGACTGACCAGAGATCAAAACCATTTTCTCCCTTAGAATGATATTAGGGATAAATGCTTGATTCTGAAGGGTTATGTGCTTTAAATTTTGTAAAGTCATGATGTGTGGCAGGGGCTACTCATGATCAAGAGGGATCAAACTAACAGAAGTATATGTCTTTACTAGTGTTTAACATGAGATTCACATTGTCTACATTTGGCAGTGAGGACCAACTGTTTGGAAGACTGGTACCCACAGTCACTGTTTATAAGTGGAGCCAGGTAACCTGAAAAGCTGAACAAGCTGGACTGGGACTGAACAAGCATGTGATCAAACCAGACTCTCTGAATGTGGCTGACAATGAGGGCGGATTGAGAGGCCGATGATAATGGCACCAGGTTTTGATTCTACTGCATGTACTGGATTTTTGGGAGCCTAGTCTGTTTGGATGCTCACCTTCCTAGACCCGAATGGAGTGGGGAGGGCCTTTGACCCTCAGGGCAGGGCACCCTGACTACTCTTAGGACTGGAGAGGAATGGGGAAGGAGAGTGGGGGGAGTGGGAGAAAATGGGAGGATGGGAGGAGGTGGAAAATTTAAATAAATAAATAAATAAATAAATAAATAAATATCAAGTTATAAGATAATGATTGATGTCTCCCACTAGAGGTCGCTTTCTTAGACTTCAGCCTCACTTTATGCCAGGCTCAAATAAAGAAATACATCAAGTGTTTTCTTTTTTAAAGTCTGGGTCAAATGGATGCTATCTCATAGTGCTTTGTTACCACCTCGTAAGACTAAGGGAACATAGTGGAACCCTTTGTCTTCCCACCCCAAGAGCATTGCATGTAGGTTACTTTATTTTTCCTTCCCTCACAAATGACCACTGGGAAAGAAGCAACTTGTTGGAATAGTTGTTCTTCCTGGAGAAAAGCTCTCTGTGTCACCTCTTCACTCTTTAGCAACGGTGAAGGAGAGCCTGTTGAGTCTGGTCATACCCATGTGATTCCACATGACCTTGATACCCTTTGACCTTGATTGATTCTACATATTCTGGTGAATCTTGGCCTGCTTGTGTAGGACTTTCAACCAAAATAAATAAAGACCACAAGCCAGGGAAGCCTAAGGTAACTTCTAATGCTTATATAGACAAGGGAGTGTCTTGGCTTTCTTGTCTGTTTAGCCTCTGACAATTTCATTAAATGCTATTTCTACTGTCTCCTGCTACTTAAAATTCATAAATCTGTCACCCCCCCCAATCATATTTCTCAATCTAGCTAAGAAACAAGTGTGACAGATCATGGGATGAATTTCTCATTTAAAGGGGCCTACCAGTTAGAGTGTATGGATTAGGAGAGCCTCTCTGTAATTTACCACACATAACTTAGATTTAAGTCCTTGAAATCTAGAGATTATCAAACACAAAGATATGAAAAAAAACCATGGAGGGAGATGGCATCAGGATGCTTGTTTTCTTTAGCCTGTCTATGTCATAGCAACCACAAAGTAAAACAAATAACAACAGCAACTAAAACAAAATTAAGGGCATCTGGGGAGCAAAATGAAAGCCAGAAGAGTGTGGAGAAAAGAAATCTTGGGGGGAGGGGTGCCTGCATGTGTGCGTACATGTGTGTGTGCGTGTGCGTGTATGTGTGTGCATTCTATCTCAGAGGAAAGAGACCTTAAAATACAAATTGAGCAAGCATCAAGATCACAAAACGTGCATCTGTCTCCAGCCTCCCACACAAGCAAGCCGATCCCATCTCAGCTACCACAGCTGTCCCTTCTGGCAACAGCCTGTCCAGCGCCTGGCACCCTATCATTTGGGTCCTGACTGGAATCTATGCTTTTCCAAGACTCAATTCTAGACTGCTGTAAATTCACATAGAACCTCCTGGGTCTAGCTATCTCAAAGCTCCCCCTGGTGGCTGGTCACTGTTGGCGACACGAGGCTGGAGACACTCCCAAGTCTCCTAAGTCAAGTAGCTCAAGTGGCTAGGTGACCAAAGAGTTAGAAAATTCTAAGTCTACCAAAAATAGGCACCATTCTGACAAAATATTTTGTATCAGAAATATGCAATTCACTTAACAAATCATTAAAGGTGGATAATCTGTGTAATATATATTGTTGCTCTCCAGCACTCTTTTTATTTAATACCAAGCCAGAAGGATGAATTATTGTAGAATAACTTTCCCTCTTACATTATACTATATATTTAAATATACTTTTATGTATTTCTATTTAATGACATGTAATTGATACATAATTATAATCATTTGACATCAAAACCAGTTAATTTAGGTAGAAAACTTAATGGTGTGTGACTTGGTGCCTAGTGAAGCTTTTAAAAGTCTACATTTGCTTCTTTAAAAATGTTTATTGTAGGTGTGGGTGGGAATGGGAGGATGGGGGAGGGGAAACTGTTGTTGGTATTAAAATAAATTCAATAAATAAAGAGTGAAAAATATTTATTATGCAAATTGAATATAACAATTTCTCTTATTTTCTGACCTAATTTTCTATGTTAATGCTGTATTTCACAATTTTGAATGACTGTGTTCTATCTTCCAAATAAATGAATTCAGAGGAAGAAGCAGTAAATATGTTTTGTAAAACAATATGTAAAAATACAAAGGATCTACTAACATGGCTACTTTCATTTTTCTGTAAATAAATAAAATTCAGGAGTCAGATATTAGGGTATAAACCAAAAAGCCATGGCAAAATGATCAACTGACCCGTCTCTCCATCTTTCCAGATAAAAAGGCTCACCAAACTTTTAGGCCTCTCCCTATTCCTTCCTGTGTCTCTCTATCCTCATCTGGCTCAGCCAAAATTACTCAATGGTTTATTGTGGCCAGCTGAACATGGATTGCCATCTGAATCAAGGTTTAACTTTGGGCAGTTTTGGAAGGACAGTGCAAGGCTATGTCCCCCAACAACAAACCACAGTGGTCTGGTACAAGAGGGCTTGTGTGGAAGTCCCATCTGGGTCTCATTACCATGATCCCATTAGGAGTCCAGGAAAGTGAAAACCAAAAAGGAAAGTTTGGGAGCAGAGGACTGGGGTGTGACTGAATGCCTGCGGCAAGGAAATCCTAGGTGTGTGTGATCACCTGGAGGCTCAGTGGTACTGGAAAGGAATCACTTAGGTATCATCACTTTGATGATGTCACTAACCAAGATGGTGACCAATCACAAGATTGCCACTTTCTTGATGACATCACTAGTCAAGATGGTGGCTAAGTTATTTGGTTGCTGCCATCTAGATGACATCACTAGCCAAGCCATTTAACTAGCCAAGTTCAATGGTGTCACCTTCTTGATATTAGCTAAGATGTTGGCCAAGTTACATGGTTGCTTCTTTTTGAGTTCAGCTCTCTGATAAAATTGGCCCATTCCCCATCAGGACAAAAGTTTTCATGGGATCTAAAAGATGCAAGAGATAGACACACAGGGCAGGAGGAAGTGTCCTGAGGTAGCCAAGCCCAAAACAGCAGAGCAAACAAACAGAATAAAAAAATGCCATTGTGTCAAACCAAGGAAGAGGAGTTCATATGTCTTACCACCAGTTGTGACCGGGTTCTCCAAGGTTGTCATTTGGACCTCATTTTATCTCTGTTTGGCTCCTAAGCAAAAGTTGCTGCTGGGAAAAAGAATCCATAAAAAAAAGCAGAAGGAATGGGAAAGTGTGTTTGAGGTCTGTGTGGATATTAGACATAAAGCAAAAGATAACCAGAACACAATCCACAACCACAGAAAAGCTATATAACAAAGAGGACCCTAAGAGAGATATATATGGATCCCCCTGGAAAGAGGAAATAGATAAGATCTCTTTAGTAAATTGGGAGCATGAGGGGTGATAGAAAGAAAGGAAGAGGGCAGAAGTAGGTTGGCAAGAAGAACTTTAGGGAATGGGATGGTTGAGATAAATGGAACCTACATCCAGATCATTATGGGGAAACCCACAGAAACAACTGGCCAGAGCTAGTGGGAGCTCACTGACTCTGGACTGACAGCAGGTGAACCTGCATAGGACCAAACTAGGCCCTCTAAATGCAGGCGGCAGTTGTATGGTTCAGCAGTTTGTGGGGCCACTGGCAGCAGGACTAGGATCTATTCCTAGTGAGTGAACTGGCTCTTTGGAGCCTATTCCCCATGGAGGGATTCCTTGCTTGGCCTAGATACAGGGGAAGGGCCTTTGTCCTGCCTCAATGTGATGTGTCAGACTTTGTTGACTCCCCATGGAGGCCTTATCCTCTATGAGGAGAAGACGGAGGTAAGGTGAAGGTGAGGAAGCAGGAGGAGGAGGCGGGGGGGGGGGGGGATTGGAATTATTAGGTAAAATAAAAACTTGTTTAAAAAGGGAAAAAGAAAGAGAGAAAATGTTAAACCTAAAAAATTCCTGATATGAAAAAAATCCAGGAAATCTGATACACTATGAAAAGACCTAACCTAAGAATAAGACGAATAGAAGAAGGAGAAGAATCCCAGCTCAAAAATCCAGAAAATATTTTCAACAAGATCATAGAAGAAAAATTTTAAGAAGCTTAGAGAACATCAAATTATTGGATCAGAAAGAAAGATTCCTTGACATATAATAACCAAAACACTAAACATACAAAACAAAGTGAGAATATTAAGACTACTAAAACATGCAAAGGAAAAGGATGAAGTAACATTTAAATGAAGATCTACTAGAATTACTCTTGACTTCTCAGTGGAGACTCTAAAAACCAGAGGGACCTAAACAGATGTCTTGCATACTCTAAGACACCACAAATGCCACCTCAGACTACTATATTCAGAAAAAATTGCAATGACCATTGATAGAAAAATCATGATAATCCATGAAAAAATCAAATTCAAACAATATCTATTTTCAAATCCAGTCCTATGAAAGATACTAGAAGAAAAGTCCAACCCAAGAATGTTAACTATACCCATTAAAATAGATGATATAAATAATCTCACATCAGCAAAAAGAAAGGAACAGAACGCACACACATACATACACAAGCACACTCACATACAGAGCGAGAAAGAGAGAGAGACATATACACACTTGTGCACACACTCACAGCAACAAAAAAAATAACAGAAATTAACAGTCATTTGTCACTGATGTCATTTACGATGGACTCATTTCCCCAATAAAAAGGACACAGACTAACAGAATAGATGAAAAAACAGGATTCATCCTTCTGCTGCATACAAGAAACACCTCAACATCAAAGATAGATATTATCTTGTGTAAAGGGTTGGGAAATGGTTTTCCAAGCAAATGGACCTAAAAAGCAAGCTGGTGTAGCAATTCTAATATCTAACAAAATAGACTTCAAGACAAAATTGTTCAAAAGAGTCAGAGAAGAACACTTCATACTCATTAAAGGAAAAACCCAGCAAGATAAAGTATCAATGCTTAACCTTTATGCCTCAAACACAAGGGCACCCACATTTGTATAAGAAACATTGCTGAAGCTTAAATTACATATCGACCTTCCCACACTGATATTGTGGGAGACTTCAATACTCCACTCTCACCAATGAACAGGTCATCTAGATAAAAACTAAAAAGAAACACTGGAAGTAACAAATGTTATGAACCAAATGGACCTAACATATACTCAAAAGAATTTACCTTCTGAGCACTTCACAGGACTTTCTCCAAAATTGACCAGCCTACAGTCTTCAACCCCAGAGAACCTAGACAACAAAAAAGACCCTAAGAGATACATTCATGGACCTATATAGAAAGAAGAAAAAGACAAGATCTCCTGAGTAAATTGGGAACATGGGGACCTTGGGGGAGGGCTTAAGGAGGAGGGAAGAGGCAGAGAGGGGAGCAGAGAAAAAACATAGAGCTCAATAAAAATCAATTTAAAAAGTAAATAAAGAAAAAACAGCCCCACTCATCAGCCTTACATAGCAGGCAGTGGTAACACATACCTTTAATAACAGTAGCCACACTAGTTGCCATATAAACCAGGCAGTGCATGCCTTTAATCTCAGTGGGGGCATGTCTTTAATTCCAGCCCTAGAGTGGATTATAAAATGGGAGGAGACACCTCTCAGTCTCAGTCTAATTTTGAGATTTCTGGAGGCAGGATCACCATTTTCGGACTGAGGTCCAGGTATGAGCTAGTGGCTGGCTGCTTTGCTTTTCTGGTCTTCAGATTGAACCTTAATTTATATCTCTGAGTTTTTAGATTAATCGAGTATCCCAAAATAGAAATAGAAGGAACATTGCCCAATTCATTTTATGAAGGTACAGTCACACTGATACCTAAACCACACAAAGATCCAACAAAGAAAGGGAATTACAGACAATTCCTCTCATAAACATAGATGCTAAACACTTAACAAACACGAACAATCAGAATCCAAGAACACATTAAAAAGATAATTCACCATTGTGAAATAGGCATCTACCTAGTGATACAGGGATGATTCAGCATATGAAAATTAGTCAATGTAATTCACCATATAACAAAACTGAAAGAAAAAAACAACATGGTCATCTTATTAGATACTGAAAAAGTTTTGACACCCCTTCATGATAAAATTCTTGGAGCAATCAGGGATGTAACAGACATACTTAAACACAATAATGGCACTTTACAACAAGCCCATAGCGAACATCAAATTTAATGGAGAGAAACTCAAAGCAATTCTACTAAAATCAGGAAGAAGACAAGGCTGTCCACTCTCTATCTATTCAATATAGTATATAAGCTCCAGATAGAGCAATAAGGCAACTAAGGGAGATCAAGGGTATATAACTGGAAAGGAAGAAGTCAAAGTATTACTATTTGTTGATAATATGATAGTATACACAGGTGATCCCAAGACTTCTACCAGGGAACTCCTACAGTTGATAAACACCTTCAGTGAAGTGGCTGGACACAAAATTAGCTCAAACAATCAGTACTCTTTCTAATTACAAATAACAAATGGGCTGAGAAAGAAATCATGAAAACAACACCCTCACAATAGGCACATATATTATATTATATATAATATAATATAATATAATATAATATAATATAATATATTTTAGGGATAACTTAAATCAAGAAAGTGAAGGACTTGTAAGACAAAAACTTCAAGTCTTTGAAGAAAGAAATTAAAAAATTTGTCAAAAGATGGATAGATGTCCCACATTCATGAAATGGTAGAATAAGCATAATAAAAATGACCATCTTACAGAAAGCAACCCATCAAAATTCCAACATAATTCTTTGCATACCTTGAATGAACAATATTTAACCTCATATAGAAAAACAAAAGTCCAAATAGCTGAACAACAAAAGAGCTATTAGATGTATACCATCCCTGATTTCAATATGTACTATAAAGATATAGTAATAAAGCCCACATGCTGTTGGCATAAAAACAGACTGGTTGATCACTGGAATCAAATTGAAGACCCAGATGTAAATCCACACACCTATAAACACCTGATTTTTGATTAAGAACCAAGAAATATACAATTAAAAAAAACAACTAAAGCGTCTTCAACAGATGGTGCTGGTTGTGCACTGTGTATAGATACATTGCAATGATTGATTTAATAAAGAGTTAAATGGCCAATAGCTAGGCAGCAGGTATAGGCTGGACTTCTGGGTAGAGAGAGGAAGTAGATGGAATCTAGGTATGTAGGAGATTCCAACAAAAGATGGAGGGATTTAGACATACAGAATTAAAGATAGGTAAAAAGCCATGTGGTAAATTGTAGAGTAATAAAAATGGGTTAATTTGGGGCTGGAGAGATGGCTCAGTGGTTAAAAGCACTGACTGCCCTTCCAGAGGTCCTGAGTTCAATTCCCAACAACCACATGGTGGCTTACAACCATCTGTAATGATATCTGGTACCTTCTTCTTGTCTGTAGGCGCACATGCTGGCAGAAAACTGTATACCAAATAAATAAATAAATAAATAAATTGTTCTTTAAAAAGTAAAAAAGAAATGGATTAATTAAGACCTACTTAGAAACAAACCTAAATTATAGGTTATTCATTGATAATTAATAATAGGTCTCCATGTCATTATTTGGAAGCTGGCAGGTGGGATAGAGAAATATTCATTACAACTGGTCTAACTGGATGTCTGCATGTAGAAGAATCATAATAGATTCATATTTATCATCCTGCATAAAACTTAAGTCAAGTGGATCAAAGACCTCAACATAAAATTAGATACACTGAACCTGAGAGAAGAAAAAGTGGGGAACAGCCTTGAACACACTGATTGGCACAGGAGACAACTTCCTGAATAGGACACCAACACTAAAAACTTAAGATCAACAATTAATAAATGGAACCTCATGAACCAGGAAAGCTTTAATAAGGCAAAGGATATAATCAATAGGACAAAATAGCAGCCTCCAAAATGGGAAATGATTTTTACCAACTCCACATATGACAGAGGGCTAAAACCAAAATAATGAAAGAACTCAAGAAACTAGATAACAACAAACTAAAAATGGGATACAGATCTAAACAAAGAATTCTCAACAGAGGACTCTCAAGGGCTGAGAAACACTTAACATCCTCAGCTGCCAGGGAAATGCAAATCAAAACTACTTTGAGATTCCATCTTACAGCTGTCAAAATGACTGATCAAAAACACAAGTGACAGCTCATGCTGGAGAGGATTGGAGTAAAGGATACTCCTCTATTGCTGGAAAGAGTGAAAACTTGTATAGCCACTGTGGAAATCAATATGGTGGTTCCTCAGAAAATTGAGAATCAGTCTACCTCAAGATCCAGCTATACCACTCCTGGGCATATATCTAAAGGATGCTCCATAAGGTGTTCTTACCATGAGAACACCTGCTCAGCTATGCTCATAGCAGCTTTATTCATAACAGCCAGAAACCAAAAACAGCCTAGGTGTTCCTCAACCAAAGAATGGATAAAGAAAATGTGGTTTATTTACATAATGGAGTATTACTCAACTGTTAAGAGCAATTACATCATGCAATTTGCAGGCAAATAGATGGAACTAGAAAAATCATCCTGAGTGAGGTAACCCAGACCCAGACAGACAAACAGACGATGTACTCACTTATAAGTGGATATTAGCTGTTAAGTAAAGGATAATCATGCTATAATCCACAGACCCAAAGAAACTGAGTAACAAGGAGAGCTCAAGGGAGGACACATGGATCTCCCTGAGAATGAGAAATAGAATAAATCTTTTGGGTGGACTGGGGGCAGGTGAGGATGAGAACAGGAAGGGTCAGGTGGGAATTGGGGAGGGGTGGTCGGAAAGAGTACTGGGAGAGAGGACTACATTTGGGAGGCTTTGTGGAAACCTAGTGCAGTAGAAACTCCCTGGAATCTATGAGGGTGACCCTAGTGACCTCCTAGTAATGCGGGATATGAAGCCTGAAGTGGCCATCTTCTGTAACCAGGCAAGGCTTCCAGTGGTGAAAATGGGACATCAACCCAGCCCCGAAACCTCTGACCTACAATTTGTAAGGTCTGCAAGATGTGTTTGGGGAAGAGAGGTGCAAACTTTGTGGGAGTGGCCAACAAATGACTGGTCCAACTTGAGGCTCACACCACTAGAGGGAACCCATGCCTGACATAGCATGGATGACCAGGAACATAGGCTCAGGAGCCCAGGGACCTAGGATAGAACCAAATATGACTGGACACAAACTAAAATAAAAAATCAATTAAATGATCCCTGATGATATCTGCTATACTCATAGTTTGGATCCTAGCCCAATCATCATTAGAGAGGCTTCATCCTGTAACTGATTGGAGCAGATGCAGAGACTCACCATCAAACATTATGTGCAGCCCAGGGAACCTTGCAGACTGGGATGAGGAAAGATTGTAGGAGCTAGAGATGGGCCCAGGGCACGATGAGAACATGACTCACTGAATCAACTAAGAAGGGCTCATAAGGGCTCACAGAGACTGAATTGACAGTCATAGAGTCTGTATGGTTCTGAACTTGGTCCTCTGTATATGCAATGATTGTGTAGTTTGGTGTTCTTGTAGGACTTTTAACACAGTGGGGCTGGGGGATGTCTCTGCTCTCGGGACCCTATTCTTCCTTCTGAGTTAACTCTTACAGTCTTAATTAGAGGGTTTGTGCCTAGTTTTTTGTAACTCATTATGTCATGTTCGGTTGATATCCCTGGGAGGTCTGCCCTTTTCTGAAGGGAAATGGAGAAGTGAATCTCAGGGAGAGGTGGAGAAAGTGAATCTCAGGAGGTGGAGAAAGTGAATCTCAGGAGGTGGAGAAAGAACTGGAAGGAGTGGAGAACGGGGAAACTGCAGGTGGAATATATTGTACAGGAGAAGAATAAATTTTTCAAAAAAGGAAAAGAAAGAAAATTGGTAATGGAAAGTGAATTTATTTACACCTAGATCAAAACAACATGATAAATGCTACTGATTTTTCTCCATCATTTTGGTAGCAGTGATATCATTTTATAGAAAAGATATGAAGTAAACCCCAAAGATTCATATATGTTAATTTAAGCACAAAAAAAGGTTTCATAATTGTGCAAAGTCACCTCTTAAGAGTCAAATTCTTCTAGCTGGCACCAAGAATATTAGCCTTATTTTACTCCCAGTGTAGGATTTCTAAGGACATTTTAATTCCTTCGGGTCCATCTCTTCAATAATCTGACAACCATAAGGAGGGACACAGGTGTCTTCTTTTAATGTATCCATTTATCCATGGGAGCAATGGTTATAAAGGGTACACTGAGGACAGGCAGGTGTTCAGGGGTTGTGTGGTGAATCAGAGACATAACCAGGTGGGAACAGGTACACACACAATCTTGTAAGGAGTCTGGGGAGAGTTAGAGAAAGGACAGAAAGGCGGGATGACAGGAGACATTATAGTCAGCATAGGAGAAGGGGATGGGGGCCAGAAAGTAAGCAAAATAAGTATAGATAACCAGGAACAAAGCAGGAGATAGACAGAAAGTACTGCAGGCAAAAGGCCTCCAAGGCTGTGCTTTTCTCCACTGGTGTTATTTTAGCTTCTTGAGACGAAGATAGATCCCATTCTTGGACTTTAGCACAGTTCTTTGCACGAGGACTGGAACTTTGGTGGGATCTGACAGCAACTCAAAGCGGAGCAGGGTCAGGGCCACGGCGACCTTCAATTCATTCATGGCAAACTGTTTCCCGATGCAGTTTCTGGGCCAGGCAGAGACAGTAAACTAAGATTTAGCCTCAGACCTGTTCTTAGTTAATTAAGCATTGGCCCATGATCCCCATTCAGAGCCGGGTATTAGGTCCTCCTTCATGGTCCTAGACTGACTCCTGATTTTTGACAAAGTCTTTTACTCTTCCAGGACTAGCTCTGACCCTGGTCCTGCCCTCAGACACAAGGTATATCAGTTGAATAGTGCCAGCACTATGGGGCACAGAGTCCTTCCACACGAGACTTTTAATGAGTTAAAAGTCAGTCGATTCCCTCACTAACAATCCCTGGATCTCCAGCCTAGATTCTCCGGTTTGGGGCAATACGCTAAGGGGTGGGTCACATTCCTGGACATTATTATCTCTATATCAAACATATAAATGATTTCAGCATTAGTGAAAAGTTAAACATCATCTTGGTGTTTCTCAAGTTGCTCCCTTAATCCTCTTTCCATTCGGGGTCAGAGTCATCCATTAGTCCTTCAAACTACCAGCATCTGTAGCCATGTATCCTCTAGGCTCCTGACATCCAGTGGCTGCACCTTGTTTTGTTTTGTTTTTTTAAGCTTGTTAAGATGAAACTCTTATACCTGGATAAACTTTATCCTAAAAATATTCCTTCCAGTGAAGCACTGTACCTCTAACTTGCTCAATGGAATTTGAATTGGCATTGTAGAAGTCACAGAACTATTGAATCAGAAGAGCAACCTTTGGACCCATTCATTATGAGGTTCGGGCCATTTGTGATCTATAAGATGCATCCTGTAGATCTGGTGGGTTTCCGCAGCAGCACTTTGCTGCTTGTCTCAGCCAGCAGCACCATGCAGAGGGATTTTCTCAGGAGCAGTCCTTTGCCACCACATTCCTTGGCAGGCCAAGCCTGCTTACTAAGTCCCTTTCCTCATGATTAATTTTTCAAACAGGGAAAATTGCCAGAATTTTTATACACGGTGAATATTTGTGCAGCCAAGAGTCAAAAACGTGTGAGATGGCTGTTACTGTGTCCAGCCTACAATAATCTGTAATCTTACACATACATGACTTCAACAGAAGGACCAGCAAAGCTCTGATTTCCAATACATTGAAATATAGGTTGCTACCTAACATGTCACATTACAGTATTAAATGTGAATACTCTATATGTATCTCATATATATAAATGAGTATACATAAGTTCATGGTAGTATTCCCTTGCTGATATAATTGAAAAGACATGTTGGGAAGCCCAGCTGCGGTGGCACCCACCTTTAATCCCAGCACTCGGGAGGCAGAGGCAGGCAGATCTCTGTGAGTTTGAGGCCTGCCTGGTCTACAAGAGCTAGTTTCAGGACAGGCTCCAAAGCTCCAGAGAAACCCTGTCTCAAAAAAACAAAAAGAAAAAGAAAAGAAACAGAAAAAATATGTTTTGCTCTATTGAGATTTTGGGTAAAAGAAATTCTCCCTTCAAGTTTCTGACAATTGAAAAGAACACTTTAAAGTTGGTTCATATGAAATTCTGAAAATTTGATATTCAAAAATCAAGGATATAAGAAAATATACTAATTTTAACATAGATTTTTTTTTCAGTGCCCACAGAGCAGTGGGTTAAATTTCTGAGGTTTGGACTGAAATGCCTTCTTTTTTTTTTTGATACAGACACACATGTCACCTAAATGCATATGAGAACTGTTGTGTAAACAGGCCTCATAAAGCCCTAAGCAATGAGAAATATCAAACATTGGCATATGCCAACCATGTCCACTATCCCATTCTCCTTACCTTGCTCCTCCTGAGAAGGGCAGGAAGGCATGGCTGTGACGGGCAGCATTTGGTGCAAATCTAGAAGGGTCAAAGATCTGTAGAGAGAGCATGAGGGCCAGGACGAATGGGAGTTAAGACCCTGTTTCCAATGCATAAAAGAATAGAATGCCTATATTAGAAATTGAGAGACCCTCCTCTCCTCCCAGGGTTTTCATACCTCTGGGTTTGGCCACAATCTTGGGTTATGGTGAAGGCCATAGAAGGAGAGACTAACCGTGAAACCTGTGGGGCAGAAAGGACATAGATGGGCAGGTAATTATGCCAAAGATGTAGACAACAATGAGGACCCTAAGAGAGACTTACATAGATCTAATCTACATGGGAAGTAGAAAAAGACAAAATCTCCTGAGTAAAGTGGGAGCATGGGGACCTTGGGAAAGGGTTGAAGGGGAGAGGAGAGGCAGAGTGGGGAGCAGAGAAAAATGTAGAGCTCAACAAAAATCAATTAAAAAATAACAGCAAAAAAAGATGTAGAGCTTTTAGACCCTCAGGAAGTGAGGGATAAAAATACACTAACGGTTTGCATCCATAAATCATCACAGAGCAAAATGTTCCTATTGGGGATGAGGAACTGAGTAAAGAATCCATTAGAAAAAAAAAAGTGCACCTAGCAATAATGAATCAAGGGGTCTTGCTTGTGATAAGCACATAAATGAAAATACATACACAGCCTTCCATCAGTTTTTGGACTATACATTAGCTCATATGACACCTCTAAGACCCTTGCCCAGCCAAGGAAGACATTGTTTTATATTCATTTGCAGAGTCTCAATGAGGCTAGTTATATTTCTTATGTTCACACAGTTTGGATGAGTCAGAGGTGAGATAACACCTCGTGGTGAGTTAGTTAATTTGTGTTTGACTACCACAACAGGAAACTCAGATTGTATCACCATCATCTCTCTTCTTCACCAAATTGGAGGTTTCTGAGAAACTGGGGAATATTTAGCACATAGCATGGGATTCCCTTATCTCTCTCATTTGCATTCACTCACAGACAAAACTTCATCCCCACAAGGACTTGTCTCATTCCTTTTCAGACCTGATTTTTTAAATTAATGGATGTTTCAAGGCTGAGAATGACATTTAACTAGTGGGTCACATTATTTCTCAAAACATTGCAGAGGAAAGCATTAGTATGTAGCAATATTTTGTTTGTAATCTAACAAATAAAGCTTGCCTGAAGATCAGAGTGCAGAGCTAAGTCGCTAGTTAGCCATAGAAGCCAGGCAGTGGTGGCACACATCTTTAATCCCAACACTCAGAAGACAATGGCAGATGAATCTCTGTGAGTTCAAGGCACCCTGGGCTACACGAGATTGAATCTGTCTAAAAGAGGAACAGCTCACACAAAGTGCTGGGATCACATGCCTATAATCCCAGCACTAAGGAGGTAGAGACAGGAGTGATATGGCTGGGCAGAGAAAAGGTTATAAGGTGGAGGAGACAGGAGCTCCGATGCAGTCTGAGGTTTCATAGAGAAAGGATGCATTCCGTCTGAGGATTCCTAGGGACAGAATTGCCGCTATAGGCTGAGGAGTCATTAGAGATAAGAGCCAGTGACTAGTGGCTCTGCTTCTCTGATCTTTCATCATTAACCCCTATATCTGACTCCGGGATTTTATTATTAAGACCAATTAGAATTCATGCTATATTAGTATCTGGGATTTTATAGCCTTCTTCCAGCTTCAGAGTAAAGATCCAATATACTAAGAAGTGAGAGACCAAGTGAGGTTGAGAACATCAGAAACACATGATTTCTTGGGGGCCTAGGTCTGTCTGGGGAGTTCATACCTTTGGGTAAAGAGCGTCCATCTGGGAAGGTGATAGGTGTGCTGAGCTCTCTGGCTATTGCTGGTACAGGTGGGTAGAGCCTCATGGCCTCCTTGATGCACATGGTGGTGTAGGGCATCTTGTCCAGGTGGTCCCTGAAATGAGGCCCATCCTCAAAAGTCACACAGATCTGGGAGGGCTAGAAGGCCTCTCCTCTAAGAAGGCAGGGGTCTCCTTCATCTTGAGTTTTTCTCACCAAGTGACAGAGGTTCCATCACCCAGAATGCTCTGCACCTCCTCCCTGCATCTCTGTTGGTGCTCAGGGTGTGTGGCCAGAGCATAGAAAATCCAGGATATTCCACTGGCTGTGGTGTCATGGCCCTCGAACATGAATGTATCCACTTCTGCACGCAGGTCCTCATCAGACAAGCTCTTCCCATCCTGCATCTGAGGAAAAGCACAGGTAAGAGAGCAGCGTTGGGTATCTATCTAACCTTGTTTCTGGGCTAAAAAACACTCCTGAACTCCACTCACTTTGGAAAGCAAGAGGATATCCAAGAAATCCAAGTGCCTCTTCTTCTTCACCTTCTCCAGCTCTCCCTCATTCTCCAGCTGAGTCTTCCTCATACTAATCATTCTGTCTGTCCAAGGACAACAGTTACCAACTAGAGGTAAACTTTAGTGCAATGCAAGTACTCTTGATTCTACAATCTTTGTGTCCAGCAGAACCCAGGATGCATGTAAACATGAGTATGAGGATCAGGATTAAGAGTCTAGTATTAGATTATTTAGACCATGTCTCTATTCAGATTCACAGCCCACCAAAATAATGGCAAACATTGTCCCATGGGTCTCACAAAGCATCAATAATGTAATGACACTGGTAAATCCTGGGAAGCATTTCATGCTGATACTATAGCTCCCCAAATTGTGCTAAAGCAGCACCCCACACAAATGTATGCCAGGTCCTACAGAGGGGCCAGACCTGGTAGACTGAGCCTGAGGGAGGGCACGATCATATTTTTGTGATGAGCCTGAGAAAGGAAGAGAGACTGGAAGGGAGGGAGGTCAGAACCTGTGTGTTCATGGGCAACCCAACAGGCACGGTGGAATGCGCGGCCACTGGAGGACAGATTGTAGATGATATTACTCTGGTGAAAGGCAGTCCTCACTCTTGAGTGAACCCCACGAGTCAGCTCTTCAACCGCCTGAACGTAGGATCTGAAATTTTCGCAGCTTAAAAGGCACAAAATATTGGTCACAGTGATGCCTGATTTACAGACATAGTAAGGTATCTGTAGATATTCCCCCAGTTGTTGGAACCTAGAACACTGGGGTACAAAGCACTTCTGTCTTACAGCAATTTTGATCCTTAAGCTTTTGAAGATGGGTGAACACTCAGGTACTGTGGAATATTCCTTTACACTGTGATTGGTCTAATAAAGAAACTGATTGACCAATAGCTCAACAGGATAAAGCTAGGTAGAAAAACCAAACAAAGGACAGGAAAGAAGAAGGGTAGAGTTTGAGAGACACCAGCCAGCCGCTGAGGAAGCAGGACATGTAGAAAATGAAGTAACAAGCCATGAGCCACGTAGTAGATCTTAGATTAAAAATATGGGTTAATTTAAGTGAAAGAGCTTAGTTAGGAACAAGCCTAAGCTATCAGCCAAGCATTTATAATTCATATTAAGGATCCATGTCTGTCCCGACTACTTGCTCCCAAATAGCCAGAAAAACTCTGCTTACACCCAAGCTTCTGCACTCACTCTGCTATTGTTCCCATGGGCTCCTGTTTGGTGTCTGGGTTGTGTCTGGCTTGGAGTTTAACTTGGCCGAGAGCTGGGTCAGAACCTTGCTTATTGTGGCTATGAGCATCTGAGTTGTCCCTCTAAAATGCCTTCAAGTAAATTCACAACAGTTGGTAGCACCAAGGATCATGCAGCTCAGGGATGGTTACTTACTCATTCTGCTGGACACTGCCCTGGTAACTGAACGCACATTTCATGATTATCTCCATGGTCATTAAGCAGACGTGTTGATAAATCTCCAGAGGGCAGTCCTGGTCAGCAAGCTGTTCCCACTTGTCCTGTGATAAGAATGGGGAATTACCTTATTTTCTACTAAATATCTTTGTTAAAGAGACTGTGGTCTGTCTTTGAATCTACAGACAATCTGATCAGAACCTCACATCTTTGAGATCAGGGGGAAAAAACCAGCATGAATCAAAGTTTTATAATCTGTTGTCTGTTTATTACAAAATTTAACAAAATTGAATGCATCACTTAATGATGTCAGAACATAATGTTCACTTCTGTGAAAAGACTTAGGACTTTTGATGAAATGGGCCTGGGTCGCCCTTCAGTTTTCTGATGGATTACTAGGCTCATAGAATCAGAGGGAACACACAGATGAGGACACATGTGAGAGCGGAAGAAAGCCTGCTAGCCTGCATAAATATGCCTCAGCAGGACTACCACAGACTTTAATTTCTTCACTTACCAAAAATATTCTGATCACTGTGAATCAGAAATCAGGGTCTAACAGATGGTGATTGTGCAGAACATTTGGATAGAAAAGTGCTGGCCTTGAGTCACTCAAGATATCCAGGAAAAAAAACTTGATTTTGTGACATCCTTGGAAGTGGTCCTTTCTGACAGTGAAGCTGGCATTGCTCAGGTCGCCCTGGAACTTACAGTCATGCTCTCTGCTGGGATTCCATTGTGATAAAGACTTTGGCCTATAATTACTGAGATGCTCTCTGTCTTAGAAAATGATTCCAGTATGGCTTGGGTCTGCTTATGGTGAGCTCTCCATTAATCCACACTGGGGAAACTCACTACAGTAATGAGATGAGTGGCATTCCTCGTGACTGTGTGTAATAGGTATGGTTGGGCCAATGTGTGAGTGTTGAGTCATAGGCACCTTGAATACTTGTATGGGTATGAAAGAAGAAGAACAGAGGAAATAAAATGGTATGGAAAAGAGGGGAAGATAGATAGATAGATAGATAGATAGACAGACAGACAGACAGACAGATGATAGATTGACATTTAGGTAGACAGATACTCACTAGCATCACACGGACAGAGTCTGCCATGATTCCCACATAAGGTTTAAGGATATCGTAGTGGAATGCTGGAGTTAACATCCGCCGGTGTTGGAACCACTTCTTCCCTTCCAACAGGAGCAACCCATAGCCTAGGCCAGAGATATGTATACATATTTGTTGAAGAAAGAGGGAACCAGAGACCATTTGGACATTTTAGAAGGAACTATAATTTAAAATATGCAAAACAACCCCCCAAAGAAGGTAGAATTTCTTGGACAAAGGCTTAAACAGCATAATGTACTTCAGAAATGGAAGTCATGGAGATAGGGTGGTGTGATTGCCATGATCGTGACAGCGGTGAGCTCAAGGTTGGAAAACAGTCGTGAAGAACATAAGTGCTGATTGGAATTTCAGAGGAATGATGTGCCAAAAGTTGAACTTTTGGTGGGCTCAGCATTAGAAAGAAGTGAGTCTGGCTAGAAGAAGAAAAATAAGACTTGATTTAGGGAGAGACCATGACAGAAGCCACAGGCACCAGTTACCCTATGATACAAAGACATATTGGGATAACTAAGTGGGTAGAATTCTCAGTCCTGGTTTAGACATACATACCAATCCAGGGAGCAAAGAAACCATATGATTTTACAGGCTTTGGATCTGCAAGAGAAGACCGATAAGAACAGCTAATCAAGATCCGATGAAACATCCCTGAGCAGACTGTTTTTCAGATTCTGACCTGTCAGAAACTCCTGATGACTTTCAGTGGCTATTTTATACACCCCCATCATCCTTTTCTATCCCAGTTCTCAAAGCTGGCCTCAGAAAGCAGGCTTTATTGCTTCTGTCACTGTGATGCTCAGAAAGAAACACAAGTCATGTTTTCAAAGGAGAAGAGTAAGAGCGCTTTATGGCTCTTCTGTAGGTAGTTGTGGCTTTCGTAACTCAATGACCTCAGAAAATCAACAATTAGAGCTTTAAAGTCTAAGTCATTGTACACATGTGGGTTAGACCAAGGGGAATGATTAGCAGTACTTAGAAATTGTTGACTGAAATGTCATCCTTTCCTAGAATTTCACAGACCCAGGTTGTAAACCCTGCAGAACCTATCTACCGCAGCCACAGTGTGGTTTGCTCTCACCTGATCTCCCCAGTATCAGCTTCATGTAGTCAGGGTCGTAGATCACGACACTTGCTTTGTTCCCCCAAAACCACTTTAAACAGGTGGTTGGGAATTTCTCTACCCATAAAAGTGTCTGCTGGAGTTCCTGGTCCTTGGGGAACAGACACACAAAAAGAAATAACTTTGAAATAATCATGTAATTACTTTATTATAAGAAATGAGAAAGGAAGGACCTCCACAGGGACAACTTAGAATTTTTCAGCAGAAAGTGGGGCTCAGATCAGCTTGATGACCTGTATGCATTATTATCCAGACCTTTGCTGTGTCTTGAGATTTGTCTTCACTAGATACTATAGCCTTGGATGGAGCGCTCCTCCTCAGTAAGAACTTCACCCTTGGGTAGGAGCTCCACATACTCTTTCTATTCGTAAGTGTGGTCAGTGCAGAAGTCTTGCCGAGTGCCTTTCCATACAATCACTTACCAAACAGTACTCTACACCAGAGTTGGAGACACAGAAGCAAGGTGATGCCTAACCCCATCCTTCAGGAAGCCCTTTACAGTCATTTTTCATGACTTCATATATGTGCCAGGTTCTGTGCTAGGTATTAGTGTAAATGAGATGCTGTTCTTGATGGTTAGGAGCTCATGGTACTGGGAGTGTGTAATAAAGCACAAAATTAAATCCGTCCGCTTAATAGGGCAGTGCTTGCATGATTGCCCCCCCAAGTCACCACTTTCAGAAATTACCTCAGTCTCGTCACTTGTATCCTGTACCTCATATGTTCCCCCACAAGAAAGTCTGGTTCTTTTTATTTTTTCTCTTTGCCTTGACACATTTGAAATACATGTATTGACAACAGATCAACCCTCAGAAAAAGGCTGTACACTTATCTCACAGTAAGTAGATTGAGAAGTTCTCAGAGATCACATGCTTATCCTATAACAGGCTGAGTCTTCTTACCTTTAGGAGATTCCCAAAAAGCCAGTGGGAAGGCGTGGATGGGAACTGCTGGAGACACTTGAGGAGCCATTGTCTGTGTAGGTAGTATTGGGCAGCTTTGGAGAGCAGCAGCAGCAGACCAAGCAAGGAGAGCACTTGGAGGAGTCCAGAGATACCAAACACATTTGTGATGTGGTTCAGCGCAAAGAAACCCATAATGGAATGGCCTGTGGATAACTGACTGTTGTTGAACTCCCTGAACACCTACATTTAGATATTGTGTAATTTGTCCCACCTCCCTGTGGGAGGGAAAAAGAAGAGGACAGCCAGTGGCCTCAGGGTCCAGAGGTGATTAATCAAAAAGATCCACTTCAGCAAATAGTGAATTCAAATCTGTTAGATTTGAACTTAGAACTCATCAGACCACATTTCCTTTAGTCTTATGATTATGAGCAGGCACCTTGCAAAATATATGTCTGCAAGTCTACAACGTATCTGGGGGTTCCTGGACTTCAGAAAAGAAAGGCTCAAATCCCAAAGATGAGGCAATTTGCTTCATCTGTGGTAGCTTGGTTCTCATAGCTGATTCTTGGATCTCTGATAGGATGCATATGCTGCCCAACCAAGACACCTTAAAGTGGCCAGTGCCCACATCTCCCTCTGTCACACAGTAAGCAGGGTCATTCCTTAACACCCCACAGTTCAAACTTTTCCTTCCCTCTTCCTCTCAACAGTCTTTATTGTTTACTTATTTAGTGGCAATATGTATAAGCGTTAGTGTGTGCACGAGTGGGCATGTTCATGTGAGTGTTGGTACCCAGGAAAGTCCACAGGGTCAGATCCTCTGGAGCTAGAGTGATGAGTCCTCTGTAAGAGCAGTAAGAACTTTAACTACCAAGTCATCTCACCAACTCCTCAAGTGGATATTTTTTGCCTTTCTGATATTTTTCCAAATCCTCTTATTTCCCAATGGACTCACCATACTCTCTCTGGTGTCAAAAAAATCTTGTGTCCTAAGACACAGTCTGTCTGAATGCTCTCTGACACGTCTGAGCCCTTATAAACACCTTATCAGCTGGCCTTGGGAATAGTCATGGATATGATACTGTATTACTAGGGTACCTTTGAAAATGATGGAACCTCTCTTAGAAGGTGAGGGTTTCAGAGACTTGAAGGCCACCAAACCACCTTAAACCAGTGACTTTTAGGTTCTTGCCTCTCAGATGTGAGGAAAAACATTCATAGGTCAAGAGAATGAGTTTTAGAGTTTTGGTTAATAATGAACTTATAGGGAAGGAAGAGAGATAGAGAAAGAGAGACAAAGAGAGATAGAATAGTTTCTGTATTGAAGGAAGGTTATCATTCAGCTGTAATCTGAGGGGTTTTTAAAGGACTTAATGAAAGAAGTAAAGATGAGGTGTGGGGAGGAGGCTGAGGACAACCACAGGTCTCCTCTCAATTCCAGTCACATGATCACGTACTGCCTTCAGGCAAAGGCACTCACTGGGAGATAACTAAGAGAAAGGAGTCAAAACTCTGCTTTCCTAGCCTCCAGCAAGGGATTCATATTCTAATTTTCTGAATGCCTAATAGTTGTAGTTACTTGCTTATTATGATGACTTCAGAGATGAAAATGGATAGGTTAACGCATCTAGCTAAATATAGTTATTGAAGATCCAAGAGTTTGTGTTGAATTCCAAATAAATTGGTGTGTGTGTGTGTGTGTGTGTGTGTGTGTGTGCGCGCGCGCGCACGCACGCATGTGTGTATGTGTGTGTGTATAATATTTTCCCTAGGGCTGGAGTCAGCCACCTTACCATCTTAACCCAGGGCTACTGGAGGATGGAATAGTGGACTCAGGAAACTCAAGGTCCAGATGACTCTCACTACTAGGCAGTTAGCAATTTACCCTCTCTGTATCTCAGTGACTTCTTTAACTGGGTGAGATATTTATACATTTCCCAAATGCCCATCATGAGCTTAACCATGAATTAATTACAGAAGTACTTCTTGTAATGGTCTGTCCTGTACCTTTAAGAGACAAACCCTGCCCACTCCCCACCCCATCCACCCCTGAGGCAAGCAGATCTTCCAGTCTTTCCTTTTCTGTCTCCTTCTCGAAGAGGCAGCTTCTGTCTCTTCCTTATCCCCCATTTCTCCTCTTCCCTTTCTGTTTCTCTCTCTCTCTCTCTCTCTCTCTCTCTCTCTCTCTCTCTCTCTCTCCTCTTACCCCTTCTCCCCTTCCCTTCCACAACACACTAAATAAATATCTAACCTCACTCTGCATGGCGTGCCTATCCATGCCTTTGTCTCCTGCCAGCATGGCTCCCTGCCTGGGACCAGTCACCTTCAGAGACCTGTGGCATGGTCTCATGGCTTACCCATTCATCTGTCTCTCCTCGTGGAACTGGCTGCCCCATTGAGGTCTCTCACCCTCCACGTAGCTCCCTGCCTGGGACTCTCGTGGCCCACTGCAGCCACTTGGAGAACTGCACTGTTCCTGCCTGGGACTGGCTTCTCTCAGGACCCACTGCCTGCTGCCTGCCACCACTTTGGGAACCTGTGGCAGGGTCTCATGGCCTGCTGCCTGTTGGGGATTTATAGCACTTTACTTTTACCATTGCACTTCTTGAGCTCGAAGTTGGTAAATTCTGAAAAAGATGCTTGTTAGGGCTATGCTTGAGTAATTTCTGTCCAGGGAGGATAAGTAGGATAAGTAAAGCAAAAATAGAAAAATAAGATCCTGAAAGGTTATTCGTTCACCAACCAAACAGTGCTAAGATGGATCCCGACAGTTTTTGGAGATTATACCTAAGAAGACAAGCAGAGGGGATGATTTGTCCCTGGGGTCCTGTGGGGGTCCACAGAAATGAATCCATTCCAGCTTGACTAAAGGTCAGAGAGTTTAAGCCTGTTCTTGCTCCTTCAAGGTTATTGACAGGAGATTTGACTTAAGGTCTGACTACTAACAAAGATATCTTGGCCTTTGGTGTGGTTATTTGGTGTTTTGGGTATTAAGATGGTAATCACTTTATTTTGTTCCTTGTATCAAAAAAAAGTCTTTGCTTTCTTCTGCTGTTTTGAATTGGGGTATTTAAAGACCATAAGAAATAAACACAGGTAGAATCAGAATTCACTGGGTTGCCCTCTGGCACTATCCTATGTCTCTGTATCTCCTTTGTATCTCTGTTTGTTCTGCCTGACATTTCTAATTCACATGCTGCTATTGTGGAATGTATGAACCCCCAAATCCAGCAAGGCTGGACCCCAACAGATGTTGCCCCAGTGTGGGGCTATGACAGATGGTTCCCAGATGTGTGGCCAGTGGTACAAGAGAGAGCGTGATAGACACTGCAGATACGTAAGACACTGCAGGTGTAAGTAAAAAGGGAGCACTCGGATAAAAGGTGACTAACTTAGGAGTAAAACTCTAAAAATCTCTGTATCTGTTTCTGCTCAACCCCAACCACTCTGGCTATTGAAATACATCCAAGCCAATTCAACAAACAGTTGAATACTATTTTCTTGCCCCATTTCTACAAATATTTAGAGTTTGTAAATAGTTTAAACTTCCTGCTCCCTCTCCCACACTGGTGGCAAATCAGCTGCCATTTTAGGTCTGCCTGCTGGGAAGGGCCATGTTTCTTTCCATTCCCCAAACCCAGGAACTCCCTTTTGTGAGGTAAAAAGCCCCAAGGTAAAACAAAGATGAAGAGAAATAGATTAATAAAAGTTGTAACAGCTAGTGGGACAAGCATAAGATAAGACTGAGCATTCATAACTAACAATAAGTCTCCATGTCATGATTTGGGAGCTGGTTGGTGGCCCAAAAGAAAGATTGATCACTACTATTTGATTACTAGTAAAAGAAACTAATCAAAAGTCCAAAATACCCCTGGAAGAAACATGCTTTTCAAAGCTTGGCTTGTTAATGATTGTACTCTCTGTAATGTGCTGAGTTGTGGTGAACGAGAGAAAATGGAGCCAGGTGGTGGCGCACACCTTTAACCCCAGTACTCAGGAGGCAGAGGCAGGCGGCTAACTCAAGGCCAGCCTAGGACAAAGTAACACTGTCTCAAACAACAAAAACAAGGAAAAATGAAAATTTTTAGATTTAGATCTACATATTTATTCTCAAGGAGCACACAGTCTGTTTAAACTCCAATGCATGCTCCAGAGTAGATGTGTGCCTTGTAGGAAGAAATTAATACCATTTTGAAGGTGAAAGTTGTATTTAAAATGAGAAACTGACATAAAGAAAATAGCTAATTATTCTAGCTAGGGTTACTATTGCTATGAAGAAACACCATGACCAAAAGCTAGTTAGGGAGGAAAGGGTTTATTTGACTTATGCTTTGACATCATAATCCATCGCTGAAGGAAGTCAGAACAGGAACTCGGAGCAGAGACCTCGAGGCAGGAGCTGATACAGAGGCCATGAAGAAGTGCTGTTTACTGGCTTGCCCATCATAGTTGCTCAGCCTGACTTCTTATAGAACCCAGGACTACTAATCCAGGGATAGCCTCACCCCAATCATTACTAATTAAGGAAATGTCCTACAGGCTTGTCTGACTACAGTCTTATCTTCTGAAGGCATATTTTGAATTGAGACCACCTTCTCTCTGATGACTCTAGCTTGTGTCAAGTTGACATAAAACTAGCTAGCACATTTACAAAAAAGGGGGGGTGGGAGGTGGTATGATCCAGATCTATAAACAAATTCACTTTAGCATTTCTTTTGATTTTCAGCACAGATCTATGTAGTTACTCTCTTCATGAATAATAGCTGAAATATGTTAAATAATAGGAAAAAATCCCTTTCAAACAAGACTCTGCAACTATTGAGCTCATACAAAAATGAGTAAATGGAGGCAAGCAAAGCTCAGCTGATCATTTCAGCAAATCTGTCCTGTTTGAACAGTGAGAGCTCCAAGAGAGAAAGGAGGTGCAGGCAAGTGTTTCAATGCTTCAGACCATAGTCAAAACGACACCATTTCAAACAGAAACAGAAGTCAAACTGCTTTAGTTACTTTTCTACTGCTGTGATAAGACATCATGACCAAGGCAACTTCTGAAGCAAAGAGTTTATTTGCAGCTTACCATTTCAAAGGGTTAGGATCTATGGATATCATGATAGGGAGCATGGCAGCAGTCAGGTAGCCATAGTACTGAAGGAGTAAATGAGAGCTCATATCTTGAAACATAACCACAAGGCAGAGAGAGAGGGGGGAGGAATGGTGTAGGTTTTTGAAACCTCAAAACT